ATTTGGTGTAATTTTTCGTATGTAAAATCAACATAAAGCTCGACAATGTCATTAACACGACTGCAATGAGCGCAGGAACAGCAACGGGCGACATAAATATGAGACAGACGCGCTAAGACACTACTGTACCGCGTACCGTGTACCGGGTGGGTTAGCGAAGTTGTGGCAGCGGTAACAGACGGTAAATTAATGAATCGTTCATAATATGATATATTAGCCGTTTAGTGTTTAACGTGTGCGACGATGTCATTACGGCCAAGAATGAGTCTTTGCGCCAGCAGACTTTGACGTCATTAATTGATTTGATGCGAAGTTCCTTTGCCACAGATGAGTTTCGAAGACCTCTTATATTTCTACGAGTATTTTTATGATCACAGTGAAATGAAATAATATGACTGATTTTGATAACTAAAATTATCTAAATTATGTGGTTCATGAATATTTGGAATGTCTTCCATTCATCGCATTAAAAATTGTATGAAAATATTTTTTAATAGAGAGGATGTCAGTTGTAAATTTCTGCAATTAATATTGCTTTCGAAACCAGATGTACTTAGCACTTTTTTCACATTCATTTTATGACTTCAATTCATATTTTTAAAAAATTAATATTAAACAAAAAATAAAATAAAATTATTTCAACGGAAATATAGAATCCTTCCTTTAAAATATATATAGTCCATATCCTTTTCAAAGATACAAACAATCCATAGATGGAATTAATATAACATATGAAATGTTTAAGTCCCTTTAAGGCTCCAAATAACTGCAGTGTTCAAAGTCTATAGGTATATGATTGGATTTGAATTTTTATAAGTCGTTCATCATCATTATCATCATCACCGTTTCCTTTATGATCTTCAAGAGCATAGGATTATGTTTAAATATCTCAATTATTTGTGGTTTTGTAAAAGTCGCTTTATCTTGTATCAAAAGCATTCTGATTCTTTCGTCTCTTTCAACGCAGTACGGCGTTAGCTGACTTTTTCTGTTGCTCTGTGGACACATATCTTGATTATTAAGACTACCATATCATTTTGCTGCAAGGGATCGGTATTGCACATCGTGTTTTTGAGGATGTCTCGAATACATCTACTAACAAATGCTTGTATTTTCTATGCTTGTGGTTAAACAGATCTTGCCTGGCTAGAGAAGCACCAAAACCATGTTGTATATAAATGTCCGGAACTTTGCGCTAAGCATGATGCAGCTTCTGCAAATCTGAATCTGAAACTGACAAAGGTTTTTGCACAACAATCTATAACACTGCTACGGTAAGAAAGAAATTTATCTATTAATTCAGTTTAATCTATTTTTTGTTATTTATAAATTATGTAGTTAATGAAATTATATGTTAAAAATCAGATTAATCAACATTTATATGGTTATACGATTTAAACCTTCATACTAAGGGACTGGCAAATTAGTTATAAAACTTAGTATTTCACTAAATAAAGAAAATTAAATATTTGAAATTATTTTATATATTTTTCTCTTTTTTTAATGACAAAAATCCAACGTATTTAACCAAAGGATTGCAAATAATATGTAACAGGAATTAAAAATGTTTACCTGAAGAATGGAAACCTTGTGACAGTTACTACTAAGTTCTTGTTTATTTGCGTCGAAAATGCAATGAATTACTATGAATACCAGAATACTATGTCCTAGGAGTCCTGCTTAAAGTACTTACAATAACTTTTTCTTGGTTGTGTTGCATATTTCATAATTGTTAAAGAATTTTCCACAGAATTCTTGCAGAATTTTACAAAGTCCTAGACAAAAGTCAGCATTTAGGCGCTACTGAAGTGGTTGGTCATATTATTTTACGTAAAGGAAGAGAAATAAGATTAAAAAGAAGAATAACAAATAGTTAACTCTTAATGGTTAAGATTTATTTTTATGTTTTCTAGTGAGTGGAGAGCATCTCAACCATCTCATAGGAATAAATGGAGAAGATTTCCACAGCATTGAGGAAACTTCATTTTAGTAATCAGGCGAGAGAGATGTGAAGATATTGGCTTAATACCTAGCGAGCTAGGTTCATTTAAGCCAAATAGCAGGGGCTTAAATTAGGGAGATTGGGTGATGGTAAAGGGGGTGGGGTGAGACTAGCGACAAACTTTGTGAATAGTGGAACAAGTACTGGGGGGACTTGTAGCGCAAGGTTTGAATGAAGTCTTCAGGGAGAGTATTGGAGATGAAGAAATCAACACATAAAGAACAGAGATGGGGATGTGCTTTTTGTCAGGCTTGGTGCTATCCCGAAAAAGTTTCTGCTCAAGTAGGCGGATTCTTTCCATTTGGGTGAAAGAGATTGCAGACCAAATGGAGAAATTAATAGGGAAGGCGACCTTATTTATAATCATCTTAAATGTGCTAAATTAGGTGATAATACATTGAGGTGATTGTAGTTTTTGCTTATATCTTTAAGCTTTCTTCGTGATTCTTTTTTGTTGATAATTTTTTATGATATAATGCCGTAAATAATAGTCTCAATTATCGATTATAGTTTTTTGGTATTCTGATTTTTCTCACTCACCTATTTTTCCAGTTCCTTTGTGCCACCAACTGCAAAAGTGTAGATAAGAAAATTTAAAATGAAATTAAAACTAATTGAAAATTAGAGCTGAGCAAGTATCCTTGCGTGTCTCAAGGTGCACTATTTGAGCGTGTGAATGTGCGTGTCTATGTGTCCTGACACTTCCTTCGAAATGCGTCTTTTCTTCGGTTCGGCTGTGGCATTTCACCTAGGCCAATTCGTTGCTGTGGTAAGAATTACAAAGCCAATTCCATTTCAAGGCAAATAAATTGTTAACAGCAAACAGCCACGCAGTCAATGTCACTTAGAGATTTGCCATTTGCTGTGTCAACAGAATTTAATATTTGAGCAGAGTTTCGCCACGAGTATTTAATTCCTAATAAGAGTTCTACTTGGAAATTAATTTTCGCTAACATTTGCTTAATGTAATTAACATTTCTGCGCGTATTTTAGCGAATTTGCACGTTTAGCATTTTTGCATTTTTTCCCTAAAACTTCATTTGTTGCTACTTTGAAGATATTTTTATGTTCGGAATTTCTGCTCTTCCGCAGTTCCGTCGTCATAAAGTAGAAATCCTAGAATAGCCTTCCACTTTATTTATTGGTGATTAAAAGTTTTCGCTTACTAATTCATTTAAAAATAGATATTTTAAATTAAATTCCCTGCTATTAAAATAAATTAATTTATTTTTAAGCTTTTTCATTTTATAAATTCAACATTTTCTCTAAAAAAAATATAACATATTTTATACAGCATTAATGTATAATTTAGTTAAAAATTTTGAAATAAATATGCTTCTTCATAATTAACTACTCACAGAGCTAGAGGATTTTTTATTTAATTTTTTATTCCAATTTTGGAACGGTTATATTGAAAGGGTATGGAAAGAGAATAGAAGTTTTCTTGCTTACATTTTAGAAAAAAATATCTTAAGAAGGTAATTAATAGCTGCTGCTATATCAATTCTTGTATAAATTTTTTGCTTTCATATTGTTTTTTTATAATATAGTTCATAAAAATTCAAATTTTAATGGAAAAATCTGGAGTTACTGCTTAAAGAAGATGTTACAAGTCCATAATGATAGCGGATTATCGTAGATAATGATGACAACATACTTTACATTATAGGTAAGAGAGTATAAGGAAATTTAATCCCCCTTGCCAATATAATCGACAGATAATCTTCTACAAAAACACTAGTAAAATATGTGTTCTAATATAACTTTCATCCGACTCTCTCTGTCACAATCCTGAATACGGCACTGATTTGGATATATTATGTTTCATATACATAATATTATTTTGTATATTAATATATTTTCTGTAATTATATATAACAGGATTATCCAGACCAGATGCCGTCGCGGCCAATACAAATCACTGTACAGATTGGAGGGTCGCAGAAACAAATACATACGTTCATAGTTGTTTTGGAGAAAGGTAAAAATGTGGTTATAATGTTAAATTTAATTTCATTAATTTATCAATTTGAATTCATTTATTTGATATACCATAAAATTAAAATAATATGGTTTCACTAGTATAGTAGTCGCGGGCCGTACAAACATTAGCCGCAGGCCGTATGTGATCTTATTTACTGCTGTCCTTTTCTCCTAAGTGGAGTATAGGGCCTCCGCAGTAGTCGATCTCAAGCCCAGTTGCCAAAGGAGGAGTGAATGTGACCAACTAATCTGAATGGCTTTTGAACATCATAGCGTCTCAGGAAGTAGGTGAGGACAAACAACTCTTCAAGAACTCACTAAGAAAGCGGGTCACCATAGTCTTTGAACCCATCACTCATTCACTAATTTTTACATATACTCGTAACAAACATGAATCAAAACCACAGCGAAACCATATCTCCACGGCTAATACCCCTGCCACTGCAGCAGGAGCATGGGATGTGGAGGCGCCAAATTCACGTTTGAGTATCTGGATGACTGAAACCGAAACATCAAATATGATTAAATAATATATATATGTAATAAATTTATTATTTGTAATTGCAAATATATATATTCTAATATTAGAATTCGAATTCTTTAAAATTTTTTGTCTAAATCAATACTTTTGGATTCTTAAAACTATGCATAAATATTTTCTATTTAAAGTTAATCTGTCTGTAATGATTTTAGTATATTTAAATAGGAAAATTCTTCACCCCATTAATATACACTTTTTAATTTATTTGCTTGGCCATAAAAATTTTTTTATAGATTGTAAATATTTGCATATGTTTTCGGTTAGAAAATCGGTGTTAAAACTCCCACAGAATTCACGCTGAAAGACATTCATAAATTATTTTGTTTGCGGTGCTAAAAATTATATTTATATAATTAACACCAACTGGCACGGTTTCGAACTATTTTGCGCTGAATAATGAATGAAATAATTGAATATAATTACTCAATTTAAGTGGAAAGCAGCTTTGATGGAAGTGCAGTTGCAAAACTCTTGTCACTTGGAGCACTTCCGCCTATATAAGAGTGCATAATCTGATAAGTTTCAAAGTGGAGTGAAGTTAAGTAATTTTTTTAAAAATTCATCAATCGATTTTGAGGAAAATGTCGCAGTCTCACAGTTTCGAGCAGTTTATGCAGATACCTATAATATTTTACAAAACCATTGGCGAAGAGCTTTTCGAGCATCGTTCCACAAACAAACTTAAAAGTCTTCTTCTCAAAATGTATCTGTACTTCGGTTTTATAAATTTCAATTTTCACGTTATGGGTGAGATTGTGTTTTTCTTAAAGTCCTTGGGCACACGTGAAACCGTTCTGCAAGCAATCGCCGTGGCACCTTGCATGTTCTTTTCCTTTATGTCCAATTTGAAGCAGATTTTATTAGCATCCCACAAGCCCTTACTACGCCAGCATTTAAAGCAGTTGGAGGACTTGTTCCCCACAACCAGCAAAAAGCAGTCCGAATACAAATTGCAGCATTACGAACGCATTATGCGCCGCGTTATGGTCATTTTCACAATGCTCTGCATGATGTACACATCCACCTTCAGTTTTTATCCTGCATGCAAGGCATTTGTAAACTATTATTTTCTGGATGCTCCTCGCTACGAACGTAATTTCGGTTTTTTGGTTTGGTATCCGTTTAATGCGACATCAACGAGACTCATATATTGGACGACATATTGGTCGCTGGGGCACGCAGCGTACTTAGCAGGTGTTGCATTTTTATGTGCGGATTTGTTGCTGATTGCCTCAGTTACGCAGTTGGTAATGCATTTCGATTACATATCAAAGCAGCTGATAAACTTCAAAGGAAATGTCGCAAAAGAAGTCGAGAATATTAAATTTTTAAATGGAATTGTCGATTATCATGCCAAATGCTTAAAGTGGGATTATTTAATTACTGCAATTTTGTTTCAGAAAAATATTAATCATTAAAAAATTTCATTTCATTTTAGTATCAGCGAAGAAGTGAATACGATTTTCAGCTTTTCATTGCTGTTCAATTTTTTGGCGGCATCGCTCAATATTTGCTTCATTGGCTTCCAGGTGACCACTTCAACGACCGAAGACATAATAATGTACTGTATATTCATGATTGCCTCTTTGGTGCAGGTGTTCATTGTTTGCTATTATGGAGACGAATTAATGACGGCGGTACGTATGGCTATTTTATTCCTTCAATGTTTAGAATATAATAATACAATTTTGTCAAACTCTTTGTTCTAAATTTCAACTTACATGTATGATAACAATCAGTTCTAGTTTAAGATATTTTCGTATTCTATCGTACTCTCTGTTTACTCACACCTACTCTTTGTGTACGCTAGAGAACGTAACTAACATAGATAGAGATAATGGTAACCAATTTATGTGGATCTCGAAATTAGTGCCAACTAGAGCTCAAGTCATAACGCTTTCATTTTGACATATTCTGTTTAATAGTTTGTCTAATAGTGTTTAGTTTCTATTGAGACCATTTGTAGTTTATCTATAGAGGTGAACACCGTTGTTCGAATTATAAACATAAACACTCTTTTGAAATTTAACTTATATATATGACTAAAAGTTCCTTACAATTATTTAAAACTTTAATTATTTCACTTTCAGAGCTTTGGTGTAGGTGACGCTGCTTATAATCAGTATTGGTTTCATATGGGTACGAAGTACAAAAAAATTCTCTTATTAATCGTTGCACGTAGTCAAAGACCAGCATCCATTAGAGCCCCTACATTTCCACCCATATCGTTCAACACATATATGAAAGTATGTATATTGTATTATATCTTATATATTTTTCATTACAGACTTTTTATTCTTAATTTTAGGTTATAAGCATGTCGTATCAATTTTTTGCACTTTTAAGAACCACCTATTCAAGTGATTAAGTATATATGGAAATAACTAAAGCAGGATGTACTAAAGTTATCAGTAATGGAAATATATGTATGAACAATATATGAATATATTTACACATTATATATATATACAATATACATAATAATATTATAATGTTCTATCAACACTTATAAAATAGAATAGAGGTGTCAATCGACACCAACATAAATAAATAACAAAATTGAATATTGAATTGAATTGAATAAAATAATAACTTATTATATGTTTAAATTTATGCATTAATATATTTTTGTTTTTATTAAACAATATAGTCAGTTCACTGAACCCCGTTCAGTCAACTAAAAGATATATTAATATACATCGAACGCTATTTTCTTTTCATTTTGTTTACAATACTATTATATACAACAAATTTCAACGTTTTGATGAACCCATTTAACTGATTTTAGTCACGAACATTATATTAGAGCATTTTGCACTGCAGTCTGTGATCTATTGTGCCTAGTTCATGGATCCAGAAAATGTTTCTAAGTCCCACTTCCTCTATAAAGTGAAGTTTAGAACCCACATTATCAATTCTGATTATTATTTCTGTTATGTCGATGGACGGAGAATTTTGTCGCATTTTGGCAATAAATTGAAGTTTTGAACGAGTCTGGTAAATATTTTTATTATGTCGATTGATTTCGTATTACGTACTCAATGTATATCTTCAAGATAAAATCCATAAAAAGGGACATATTTTTATAAATTTAGAGTATTTCTTCAAGTATGACTACCTCTATAAATTATAGTATTGAACCTAAATTTCCAAGTCTTATTTATTCATCCAATCTTCACAGGAAATGCTTACCAAGCTACTTTTATTGATATATTATTTTATTAGATTCTATTGGATTTTGCTTCTGATAGCCCTGGTAGATTATGCTAGTAAAGTTTTCTTTGTTTGTTAATTTCTTTCCACACACATTGTCTACTTTGAAAAAATGGGTAATAGTCAATTCCATATATGATTTTCCTATCATCTAATTTAGTTGAGCAGATTTGCAACAAAGTAAGTCTACGCGGTACTTAGCGTTATTAAAGGTTCTTAACCAAGGGGTCTTAGAAATAAAGTCTTTACTTAATCTCTATTTTAATTTATTTTTTCTTAATGAAAAATATTCCGCAATTCCTCATCATTTTTTAATTAACGTATTTATTGATATATTTACTTCGTTTAATATATCAACAACTCTGCTGAAGTAGATAGATATTCTGTGTCTATATCTATTATAACAAATATATATAAACCATTTAAATATGCTTATAGTTCATTATATTTTAATATATAAAGGAATTATTCAATTACGGACGGTTTGCTTGAGTTAGTGTAACCAGCACCTTTACTCTCTTTTATATGTGGGCCTCTTAATTTCTTGCTGGGGACATAGGATGATTTGTAGTCATGAGCTTTATTATGTTGAAGTTGTTTTAAGCTAGTGCAGTCTTTTTCAACTCGAGGTTTCTTCAAAACCCCCCTCTACACCTTGACCTATTGTTTATCACTTCATCAGACTAAGCAATACTTGTCCTCAGATCTGCATACCTCTCCGAGGAGCCTGTAACCATTTTGAGATTTGATAACGCGGTGTTGGTAAGTCTGTCAGTTTTCATAAATAATTTCAGGGCTCTAACCTTTATGTACTTTTTGATCGGATCAATCTTGAGGTCCCTGGGGATGTCATTCGCCCTACTGTACCATGAAACTTTGAACAGTCTTCTCAGAGCCTGGCTTTGTGCAATTTCTAGCTGGTGAATAGTAGTGTTTGCTGGGGACATAGGATGATTTGTAGTCATGAGCTTTAAGCATCTTAATCTAGTAATCTGGTAATCTAATTTTAGTGATACAACAGTTTTAAACAATAAAGGACGATTATTGGTCCAAAAAGTTCTTAAAAATTTATAGCATGAATTTCACATTTGATTATGACTAATCATATTTTTATATATTTCTTGCGGGATGATTATGAAGTAATTTAATGTTCCTGTAAAAAAACGTACTCCCCATGTGATGTGTTTAAAACAAATGTGCTATTTAATTCTATATATTTAATTTTATATATATTTAAAATTTTTAATAATTTATTCCAGCTATTCTAATTGTCTTAAAGCTTATTTGATCGTTTTAAAAATTAAAAGCATTAAAAGAAAATCGTGATGTGTATATTAATTTTCCATTTAATGAATAAAAAATAAGCACGTGTCGATTATAAATAATAAAAGTACATCATAAGGATTTAATTTTGCGGACATAATTAGAAAAAGTCATACAAAGAGTCACGCCAAAGTTTTGGTTTTTTGTTGTTCATATTTTAGGGAAGTCAAAATAAATATAAAAATGTTTTAATAAATTTTTAAATGGGAAAATAAAAATTCTTATATAAAACTTTTTCTAAATAAAAGTGTCGATTGTGCGCCCTTTAGATTTATGTGTCGAACTTTTCGAAAAACTTTTGTTTTACACATTTTTCACGCAAAGCAATTGCCACTACGACTTTGGCTTAATAAGTTTATTCCTTGCTATGAATTCATAATTATTTTAGAATGAAATCTTGATTTGAAATGGCTTGTAACGCAATGTATACACACCACACCAAAAACTATAAAATAGCAACATTCCACATAAGTCAAGTCAAATACAAAAACATAGCAAGTCCTTAAGGATGTGTGAGAGTAAGACGCCTTTTCGTACTTTTCGAGACTTTATGTACTTGCCAGAGGTGTTCTACAAAACCATTGGGGAGGAACTCTACGAACATCGCTCGAACAACAAATTACGTAGTTTCATCTATAAACTATATTTTTATTTTGGCTTCTTGAATTTCAATTTTTACGTGTTCGGTGAGGTTGTTTTCTTTTCGAAAGCGCTAGGATCGCGTGAAACCATCTTACAAGCTACCGGAGTGGCGCCTTGCATGTTTTTTTCGTTTATGGCGAATTTCAAGCAAATTGCTTTGGCTGTGCATAAGCACACATTACGTGAACACTTCGATAAGCTTGAGCTGTTGTTTCCATTGACCAGAACTCAGCAAATGGCTTACAGGCTGCAGCACTACGAGCACATCATGCGACGTGTTATGACGATCTTTGCGTTCCTCTGCTTGACTTACACATCCACTTTCAGCTTTTATCCGGCAATCAAAGCTTTTGTTAACTATTATTTTCTGAATGCTGAACACTATGAACGCAGTTTCGGTTTTTATGTTTGGTTTCCATTTAACGCCACTGCCACAGCAGGTATTTATTGGACCACATATTGCTCTATGGGTCATGCAGCTTACTTGGCGGGTGTGGCGTTCCTATCCGCTGATTTATTGATTATTGCTTCAGCTACTCAACTCGTTATGCATTTTGATTATATGTCGGAACAGTTGCACAATTTTAAGGTGAAGGACGTGGACGTGAAGAAGAATATGGAACATATAAAATTTTTAAATAATTTGGTTATGTATCATGCCGAATGCTTGGAGTGTGTATTTGCCTGAATTACTAAGACGTATACTAAATTTTTACATTTTCAGTATAAGTGAGCAGTTGAATTCCATATTTAGCTTCTCGTTGCTGCTTAACTTCTTGGCTGCGTCTTTGAATATTTGCTTTACGGGCTTCCAAGTGACGACATCAACCGCTGAGGATATAATAAAGTATTGTATTTTTTTAGCTGCGTCACTGGTGCAAGTTTTCTTGATATGCTATTACGGAGATAAATTGATCACAGCGGTAAGATAATTATAAAATTGTTGGCATTATTTAGTGAAAATTACAACACACCGTGACATATTACAACGGTAAGGTAATAATGTAATTATAATTAATATTAAGCGAAGAAAACTATATACCACCACTAAGGTGAGCTATTATAGTAATCCGATCATTGGACCTATAATGACAGTTTGTTTTGTTTTATATGTTGTGAGGGCAATCAATCTGTGCCCAAGATGGGAAAGGCTCATTTAGCTTAGTCTAAATTCACAAAGTTTATAAATTCACATGTTTTAGTATCACATGTTTACAAAAGCGAGAACTACTGGTGTCCACGAAACAAACGTTGTTCAGATGATACCTGCAGTACCTTGTCAATAGTCCGATTTGGTTCACGAATACGTTAGAGGAGTGGAAGTCTACGTACTTCCATTCACTTGGTTTTGGAAAGAACCGTTTTGAAAGAGAGCCTTACTGACTCGACTAATCAACCTGTAAGCTACTTTTTGAATAGAGCAGTAATGACGTACTTTTCGCAAGAACCTGGAACATTTGTTTAGAATTAGTATTTTGTACTAATCACAAATTTGTAGAAATCTTAATAGTTTTAAAGTAGGTTTTGTAAATATTTAAAAAGAAAATACATTTTTTGCTGTTTAATGTTGTTTTAATGTTTTTTTACATGGAATCTTCAATTATAGAGCAATGGAGTTGGTGAAGCAGCCTTTAATCAGGACTGGTTTGGTATGAGTAATAAATACAAGCGAACTCTTTTGTTAATAATTGCTCGTTCTCAGAAGCCAGCGGCACTAAAAGCTCCTACATTGCCACCGATTTCTTTCGTTACTTACATGAGAGTTAGTATATTAATTATCTTTTAGGATTAGTTAACAAAACATGAGTATTGATATATTTATATACTTCTTAGGTAATAAGTTGGTCCTATCAATTCTTTGCCTTATTAAGGACAACTTACACCACAAATTAAATAATTATTTTTTAATATTACAATTATATGAAATAAATTATCATAATATGAAAAAATTATTGTTTTTAAATAATGTTTATTTATAATATATTTGTAAATATGTTAAATATATTGTGACTAAATTATACTTTCTTACGTACGTATTCTTACGTATTCATTTAAAATTTGAACCTGCATAAAGCTTATATTACTGAAATTACTTAAATCATTAAACGATGATTTAACTTAATAAAATAATTAATCCACGGCATAATGACTTTCATCAGTCGACCAAGGAAGGCTCAATATTTACGGAATTAATCATTTGTTACAATTAAAATATGTCGGCAGCCTTTGTAGATAAAGATTAATATTAATTTTTAAAGAGTGGAAACATACAGGTCCTTGCTATTGAAATTCTTGTAATTACCTCAGAATTTAATATTTTCCTCATTATGAAGTGGTCTTACTGAATTCTGGATCATGCCGAGCACTTATGAACTCCCTTCTCAATATCGAAGTAGCAAGCAAAAATAGGAAGAGGAAAGCGGTTATAATTTATACTGCCAGTGCCATGTACTTGTAAATCATTGCCCGTTATAGGTTCTTACCACCTTAAGTATCTATTAAAAATTTCCAATGTGTGCATTGGCTTCTTTATCGTAGTATAGTGCTTTAAAGTGACACTTTTCGCTTTGTAAAAACAAAGTAAAACAAGCCACAGTATTCCAAAACTATACTCTATAAGGCTGTAAGTTTTGGATTTTTAATTATCCCTAACATTTGGTATATACATTTTGTGAGTCAGTTCAACTGTAAAAACATTGTTTGATTTGAAGTCTTGTAACTCTGTTTGAAACCACTTCAGGGCTAGTTTTTGCAAACATCATTTCTCCAACGTCCTTGCTGAGCCCATCAACAATTTTTATTTTTCAAAATCCAGATCGATGATTATGTTTGTCAAAACTCAAAAAAAATTCTAAGGAAAATGTTGCGCTGAATGGCAGTATAGAAGAAAATTAAATACTGTTTTACAAAATTTCATCTACAATATCGAAATGTAGACATAACCAGCCTTTAGGAACCAATTATATTAATTGAAGTTTCAAAATAAAATGTCAAGTAACTGAAATACAACAAGGACATATAGAAGAAATTTAATTCATCTTTTCTGACCGCAAATTACAGAAATTGCACTACCTATATATGGTATTACATTTAAGGAAGAATAATAAATCTACATTTTTAATGCTAAATTATTTTGTTAACAATTTTATTTGTTTTAGTTTACTTCAATTATTTAATATTCATATCCTTTTTTACTAGCTCATAAGTGAATATTAATCACAAGTTATGCCCTCCTCAGTCTTTTGTCTTTGATGCGTTGGAATATTTTTGCTTGCATGGACTTTAAACTGGCAGGAGTATAGATGATTGTACAGAATTATGTCGCCTTTATTGTTTTATGAATAAATAATATTTTAATGTCAATTGCAGTTTAAACGTTACACAAGAAATCCTTGTCGTTCAAAGTTTATTGGCCGCCTCCCACTTATGTGGCTGCAAGCAATAAATTGAACCTTAAGACATTGTTCGAGAAACAAATTATATGTATTGATTATGTCTGGGGTTTATTTATAGACTTGTAAGACCAAAATTATTTCAATATATTTAAAAATTTTAATAAATTAAATTCATACATGTGTTCCTTAACTTAAGGATTTTTTTGTTAAAGTTACGCGATATATAAATATGTTTACTACATGATAAGAAATTTACAAGTAAAATAATTTGGAGCTTATACTTTAGTATTCATCGTCCTGCTATATGATTGAACCACTTTGAAGTTTATTTCAATGATTGCAAGACACCATCAGAGGTTCATCGACAGTTATCTGGGTCTATTGGAATTATGGAAATTCTGGAATTATTGACCTCTTACTAAAAGAATCTCTTTGCTTCATTGAAAAAACAAACCATGTTGACTTTGCTACCGAAATCAGGAGAAGGAAGGGATAATAAGAAAAACTGATGACAATATTATCAAACGAACGTTGTCATGATTCCTCTGCACTAAACTCCACTTTACGCGACGCCATTTAACAGAGACCGAAACAACTTGCACTTCGATATTGTTCTTGTGAGGTACATCAGTAATTCTGAAATGGGAGGATGTAAGTCATGTCATCCTTGATCTGGCTGCCATCGAAACGATGATGCCTATAATGGCGAACACTTACTCTAAAAACATTGAAGTAGATTAGTAAGGCATCGAATTTATGTATTCCTAGTCTTCGACTCTACAAATCCCTTATCATGCCTGTCCTGCTGTATGGTGCAGAAGCTTGGACAATTACCAACAGTGATGAGAAGGCGTTAGAAGCTTTCGAGAGAAAAATTCTTCGGAAGATCTATGGTCCCTTACGCGTTGGCGACGAGTATCGAATTAGATGGAACGATGAGCTGTATGAGCTATACCGCGACATTGACATAGTTAAGCGCATAAAAATTTAGCGGCTACGCTGGCTTGATCATGTCATGCGAATGGAAGAAAGTGCTCCGGCTAGAAAGGTATTTGATTCGGTACCCGCAGGTAGAAAACGCGGTAGAGGACTTCCTTATCTTCGGTGGAAGGACCAGGTGACCAACTATTTGGGGGCGCTCGGTACTACCAACTGGCGTCAGAAAGCAACTAATCGGGCTGACTGGCGGAGGCTACTCGACGCGGCCAAGGACGACACGCGTCTGTAATGGCCAACTAAGTAAGTAAGTAAGTCTTCGACTCCCGTGCCTTTTTCCAGTTTTAACGTTAACTTGCTCTGCATTGTTATCAATATCGTTTCACAATATCGTCTCCTAGGATTACTGATAGTAAAGCTACGAAAATTTATGAAGACAAACATGGAATGTAATCTATCGCTATTGATGCTGAAGGTTGTTGACAGAACTTAAATGTTTCCAGAACCGCGGAGCTCCAGTCGATTGTCTTTAAACTTCTTTATACATCCTAAGAATTGATTGTTTCAATAAAATTTTTAAAAACTTTTTAGAATAAATACAGATTAAACAAAGTTAATAAATGGCATTGCCGATATTATTAAAGATTTTTCTATTAAAGTGGGATGTTAAAGTATTTGATGAAAAGAAGGTATCACTGGTATGTTTGTCCTATCTGCCTGATTTTTCTTGTTGCCAACTGTTTGGAGTTTTTATTCCAATTCCCATTTACACGTCATTGATATAGCTTTCATTCATTTGCCATGAAAGTTGTGTGTTTATGAAAATGAAGTCTAAATTTCCTATAAATATAAATGAACAATTGTTTTAGCAGTTGCTTGCATAGTTGTGGGGGAATAAATCATTTTCCATTTTCGGTACATTTACTTGCATTAACTCTTCAAGCATCTCTTCCACTTCTGTGAATAGACAAAGCAAGAATGAGTGAATTCATTGAATGCACAAGAATTGGAAAGAAGAAATACTTACGCATATCATCACATCCTTTGTGTGGCCATTACCATTAAAATGATTTTGGAGTAGCTGAAGTGGGAAAATTTGCATATTTTGGTTGCGAAGTGCGTCGACTATACAGTCGACGAATACAGCTATGTTACACAGTGCAGCTGGGATCTTACTAGTTCGCTACAAGCAGGTACTGTCAAGGAACAAAAATCTTTTCCCTTCCTCTGCAGTTTGGAAGGATTTTTGATACATTTTGGTGGTTTCAATTTAAATTCAAGCTGCTCAGTTTTCTTATATTCAAAAATGATTTCTCTTATAAACGAGCACATTACGTATGTACCAGCGCTTAACATTATTCATCTCCTATGCACTTATGTGGCCTTCGTAGGAGTTTATATATTTTTTTTGAATTACTTTTGGGATTGGTTTAGGAAATTGTTTTGGGAGTTGAGGTTAGTGCTTAAAATTTATTTTTAATTTCAATGTAAATTTACAGAGAATCACAAGAAAGTGAATGTAGTTGATAATTTATCATTAAAGAAGAAAAATAATATTATTAATAGGGGCACAATCCATAACCTTGACCTTTTAATGTATCAGTGATTTAAAAGAAATGCCAAAACAACTTTTAAGTATCTTTACTGAAATATATCATTTAAATTATAAAATTAATTTTGCTATATTCGATATGTACTCGTATAAATTTTATTTTGACCGTATTTTTATTTAGGTCAGTGCGAGAGGAAGTGAAAGTTTTTAGCTAACGCAGTAATTAGTTTTTACAAGGACATGAACATCTTTTCTGTATATTAGAGAAACGAAAATAAATCTTCTTAAGTGAAATTTTCAGAAGATTAAAGGTATTATTGCGAAACAAATTTACCTTGAATTAGGAGAAATGCTTTCAATTTATAGTAAATTCCTGACTGCATTTTCCTCTATTGAAGTGCAATGAAATATTTTTAGAAAAGTCGAAAATAAATGTTTGGTGTTCATCTAAAATATCGGTTTGAAATTCGAAGATTATCCTTTTTAAATTCAAGTGGAATAGTTTAGAAGACAAAGAATAAAAATAGAAATGGACGAAAAACTATATAATACACTACAACTATGAATGGAGTGAGTAATACAATACAAATTTCCATCAAAATAAATGCTAAATTCTTATTTAAGTATGGTTTTAAGCATGAGGAAGATGTATATTTTTCACACCGCTTAACGGTTTTATATTGAACACTAGCATCTGCTTTAAGTTCGCTTAAACAGAATAGAATGCCTGAATAAAAATATGATGGACTGCATATACTGTACATATAACTGAAAAGGTGTATTCTATTTAAATAGCAGAATTTTAAGCAATTATAAAGTAAATTATAGTTGGAAGGTCCTGCGCTAATGCATATACGGAGTAGACTTCTGGGAATGTCTATTCTTATGGAGGAGGCAATAAAACTCTGTAAAGTAGGTTCCATATTACTTTTTATTGACGCAACAGGGCTTGGAGACCTACTCTAAACATAGATAATTGTGTATACAACCCGGTGTAATCACGACCGCAC